ATACAAATTGTATTTATGTTTTCTTATTATTTTATGTTTTTTTCACATATACATATCATTTTTGGAAGGGTGGGCTTTTTTGAAGAGAAATGCTAATTATGAATGTAATACAATACTGAAATGTGTTGATACAATTTTTTAAACATTTCTTCAAGTATATAAATAAGTATATAATAATGTTTTAAATATGCTATATATAATCATTTTCTACATATTTTTGGAATAGCATTAATACATAAAAGGTTCATTATAAATATAATTAATATAAAATTTATTTTTTAGTTTTATATGTAATTGTTTGAAGTAAAAATACATACAGAAAAATATATATATATACATCAATTTTTCTACACATATTTTCATTATGTATAAAAATAACAATAATATAATAACTCTTATAAACAATTTGGTACGAATCGTTTTTAAAAATATGTATATATTGTTTTATATGTTTTTTTGAAGGGGTTGAAGAAGAGAAATGTTGGTTATAAATGCATAGTAATGAAATAATAAAAGGTGATAATACAAATGTAATAATTTAAACACAAAAATATATAAATAAAATAAAGACATTTTATTCAATTTTTGTGAGTGACATGCTTATTTGTGTGTTGATTTGTTAGCATAGTAAATGCTAACACCAATCTCCAACTTCTATCAGTTGAGTCAAGTCTCCCATGCAATTCACACGAGGCGTGTTACTATTATAACATACTAGCCTTTACAGAGTGTTTCAAATTAGTACTTAGCATGTTCCATTTCAGTTAGGATGCAGCCTATGTTGGCAACAGAGAGCGAGGCGACTCACTACGTTATGGAACAGAGCCACTGTGTGTATACTGTATATATCCCTGTGGGGGCAGGGCAAAAAAACCTTTCTGGAGTATTCCACAAACCAACCCACCCGCTTAAGTCAACACTTCCAGGATAGGCCGTAAAAGCCAGGGGCTCGGGTGACTGTGTGGCAGGTGCAGGGAGACTGCGAAATGGGACGGCGGACCATAAATCTGACACGGAACACCCAGAGAGCAAGACGTCCAGGCGCCGAGCAGCAGTCAGATACAGGAGTTGAGTGAGAAAGCACAAACATGAGCAGGTGTGTGTGTATTTGCACTCACCTGGCCCAACATATCTGGTGCTATAGGAATAGTTGGCCAGATCGCAGAATAGACGGCAAAAAACAACATCCAGAGCACCATGCTGCCCCATACAGCCAAATGAGAAAACTAGAAGAGAAAAACAGGTCATGGTCAGTTTCACACTGAATATAGACTTCTTCAACTGTAATGGACACCGTGTGAATTCGAAGGCCGCTCTACTTCATCACAAGATCTGGTGTGAGGACAGCTGAACGGACAAGGAGTGTCGACGTCTCCTCAACACACACGGCAGCAGGACAAAGAAATGTCCTGACATAGCAGCATGTTCCCCATCGATCTAAAGCACTTCCCAGAATATATAAGACCTTCCTATATAATGAGATGCATAATGTCAAGTGCAAAGTGTTGTATAATGTGATCTCCTTTCAGTTCAAACATAACAAATGGAATGGAATAAATCTGATGCATTAAACAGTGCTTTTATACACTGCAAATAAAATGTCTTGCACAGTTTTATGTTTTGTTTTCCAGTACAAATATCTAAAAATTCTCAAATTAAGCAAAATGACTTAATATAATTCTTTGTTCTGAAAAAATAATAAAAATTAAGTGATTTTATTCTCATTTGTCTCATTTTAAGCATAAACATATTTCATGTTGATACATTTTTCAGAAAACTAGACTTACTATCTTTAGTCATCTTGCTTCTCAAGCAAATGTATCTTGATTTAAATTATTTGTACCAGGACAAGACAAAAATACTTGGAAAGAAAATCATTTTTGCTGTGAAAATTAGACACATTATCAAGTGCAAATTGTTCTATAATGTGATTTTTTTTCATTCAGACATAACAAATGCTTTGTAATATTCAATAAATTAGACAGCACTTTCATAGACTGCAAAAAATTATTTTCTAATATTTAATATAAAGTATTTTTGTCTCGTTTTCCAGTACTAATATGTAAAAATTCTCACATCATGCTAAATAAGTTAAGATATTGAATCTTGTTTTCTGAAAAATTTATCAAAATTTACATTTTAATTTTTCTTAGCCCATGACATATTTTTTCCTGCTTTAAGCATGAACTCACCTAACTTTTTATTTCAGATATATGCTCATTGCTTTGGGCTCAGATGGCAGACGGTAAGGAGTGTGTGTGTGTGTGTGTGTTGGAGGATGGGGACTGACGTACCCTTGTCCATGCTGTAGTCTCCATACCCGCTTTCAGACATACAGTTACCACTACATACTGCAGAGAGAGAGAGAGAAAGAGAGAGAGAGAGAGTCATAAATAACAGTAATGATATGCACTCATCATCCTGGTAAAACGTTCAACTCAAAAAAACAGATGAGGGCTTTCACACAGGCATCGCCTTACTATCGCCTCTAGCGACACACACTGCTTTAAAACACAATCACACATTTAGCCCTTAAAGTAATCACTCGTACACACACACACACACACACACACACACACACACACACAGGAGCCTGCGAGGAACAGAAATACCAGCACACAAAGACTTCACTCCCCATGGGACTCATTCATTACTGTTGTAATGGCTAGCGTCTAGTATCACCTCCAAAAACCCCAACGTACTGTATTTAATAGTCTGGGTTGCACACATACATACACATGGCCTCATTTTTATAATGGACGGCCAAAAGCACAACACAACAACAGAGAGAGCTATATGTGAAATAGAGTTCACTGACTGGCTAGTGGGGAGGGAAAAGTAGTGATTTAGAGAATGAAAAGTGGCATGAAAAGATGTTTTTTTGGGGTTGCACTCTGTATTTAATGTGATTAGGAAAAATACTGTGAAACAATGAGACACATCTGAGCGTTTTCTTTGCAGGCTGCACGCAAATCAAACATGCAGCCCGATCAGCGTAATCTGATTCATGAAATGATGAACTAACTGCATTTTTTTTCAAAAGACTCAAGAGAGAGAATCTGTGTAATGAATTATTTGCCTAAACAATTATAGAATCTGACTCACGTACTGACTAGATCTTTGATAACATGTAATTAAAGGAAAAACATTCAAAATAGTTTTGTTGTCATTTGAGATCAGTTGGGTTCAGACTGGTCAACTAGCGTAACTAGACTTTTTAACAAACTGCCGTGTTAACTAATATTTTATGGAATTTTGTGTTTTTTAATAATCCATTTCACTCAACTATAGATAAGATCTTTCATTGCCATTTCTTTGTGTCTTGTCTCAGAGTTTTAGCACACTAAACCTTCTCTCTGAAAATCTGCATTTCTTGCACAGCTATATCTTTAAAACAGCTTGTGTAACAAAACCATCGACTTTAAGGCAATTTTTGGACCTCAAACATTGGTATGAGCAATGTTAGGATTATGAGATTTTTGTGTAGTAAAAAGGTATTTTTCAAATACGGGTTTATGTACATATGCAGACAGATATCTTTGGCAGTTGCTTTCCATTTTGTGAAATTTTTAAAGGCCAATGAGAATTGTGCTTTTAAGGCAGGGTGTCAAAAATGTGTCTCAAGACCCCTGTGTAGTGTTCCATTCTGTTGCACTCCATCCAGGTTTTAACCACAAGAAGGTGAACCAATAAAAAAAGTGTGATTGGTGTAGGGTCTTATTTTATAAACCAGCCCTACTATACAGGGCTTCCTTAAAGGGATAGTTCATGCAAAAATGAAAATTACCCCATGATTTATTCACGCTCAAGGCATCCTAGGTGTATGAATTTCTTCTTTAAGACTTCTTTTGGACTATTGAAAATAGATAACACCCATTCACTGCCATTATAAATCTTGGAAGAGCCAGGACATTTTTTAACTCTGATTGGCTTCGTTTTGAAAGAAGAAAGTCAAATACACCTAGGATGCCTTGAGGGTGAGTAAATCATGGGGTAATTTTCATTTTTGGGTAAACTATCCCTTTAAGACTGATCATTTATTTAGATCAGGAATTCCCAAACTTTTTTTGTGAGCCGAACCCCCGAGTACCCCCTGAGGTTTTAAGTTAATATTTCAATAATTTAACAACACATTTGCATGTTCACGGTTCTGTGATGTTGGTTAATGGTCAAATGACACATGCAGGTAAACAAATAAAATATATTTTATAGTAAGTGTTTTATTTAAATATATATATATATTTTTTTTAAATATATATATATTTATTCTGATTTTACATTTTCATCAACTCACAAACCCCCTGGGGTTTTTAAACTGTAGCGTCTCGACCAATCTGACACACTAATTTTTATTTGATTTAACAAATCAATTATTCATTAGATTAACAAGTCGTCACAGTCCCCTCACTCAATATACTGGATGCCAGGATTTCGGCTGAACACCATCCCCCACCTTGGTCACTATGACAACTAATCATGATATCACTGGTTTTATGGCCTAAAAGGAATGCAGGGGATAAACTCCCTCATTTTCCTCATAAGAAAGGCACAAATGCACAGGAGAAACTGACTTTTCTACTAATTAATTTAATTAGGACAACTTTCCAAAGAGTCAATTATGAAAATATGTTTTTTTCCCCTAGATGTATAGTTAATATTTTTAGTTTTAGTTAAAAAAAACACACATTAAAATGTTACAAAAATCTATTTTTTTTAAAATGTAGTTACTGATACAGAATATGAACTTTTAAAAGGCCAGAAAAAGATCTATCTGAACCATTTCAAGCATTTAAAGCAATAAATAAGTTAAATGACTGTTAGAACCGTAAGAGGTAAACTTGAAATGCAGAATTTCAGTCATAAACTGCCCACAAATGCCAATGGTGAGCGGTCTTGTCGGTTCTGATCAGTTTCCTCACAGAGTTCCTGTCGTTTCTGCTTTGAGTTGTGGGATAATTTCACGAGAACTTTTTTCAAGAAAGACATTAACAAGTTTACAGTGTAAACACTGGCGGCCAACGAACGGAATAACAGCACTAGCAAGGAAAAGATGTGTGACCTCTCATTGACAGAGAGCTACAGCGCAGTAAATGCCACGCTAACAACTCACCGTGTAGACAATGTTCCCCACGAACAGGTAGTCGACACTATTGCCGTTGTCAAAGGGAGTGTCTGAAGAAACAAAAAGGGCAATGAAATATACTCAACAGTTTACACACTCAAGCTAGTCTACATGTGTGCGTGTGAGTGCTTGCGATAGTTACCGTGCTCCAGACCTTTGAGTGGAAACCAGAAGAGAATAATGGAGTGAATGAGAGCATTTATACAGTGACCCCAAAAGACCTGGAAAAGAGAGAGGAAGGGAGGGACAGAAAGCAGGAACGGGAGAAGGGGAAAGTCAGTCAAGACAAACTAATGCCAAGATACACACAGCCCACCCACACAAACAGTTTCTCTGCAATTGCACAGCTAGTGCAATGTCCCCCAGATCACCTCTAACATACACAAACACTGATCCTCAGCTATAAATGAATGACTGTCTAATTTCAGCTTCATGAAGCTCATTATTATCTGGATGGAAGCAGAGCTGTTTCTTGCACTCCTGTTTATCTACGGGAAAGTCTCAAGTCACACAATACGCTGATGTTGCTAACCACATCAGACTGTGATAATCAATTATAACACAGGATGTAGGCTAGCGTGATGATCATAATAACAGTCTGACACTCACTGCAGACAGGTTTGTAAGTCTCAAGGTATTTGTTGTGTCAGTATGAGTAATTTGTGATTTAAATTGTGCATTTGTATCGACTACTGAAATCTTGGTACCTTAGTGTTAAAACCTTCTGCGTTCTGTGTGATGCGGTACAGCTGAGGGAATCGTAGCATGTTCTGCTGACTGCACGGCCGGTCAAATATCCCCAGTGTGAAAGGAGGAAGAGCAGTAAAGATCTGAAAAACAGATGAACATTCAAGTGTTGCAGTATATTACATATACAGAATGTATCCAAAGCACAACCAAAATGGAACATGATTTGGAATGCTCTGATTGCAATGGATAACCATTAGCATGCGAAGCTAACTATGCCATACTCTAATAAAGATAAAAATACATAGCAAACAACATTCCACATTTTATTGTGGTTTTTGGTGGATTTTTCAAATATTTTGAGTGAAATATGTTTTCACTGACATAACTAGAGATTACTGTTGATATGTGCACTACGCAAAAGTTATATTTTATGTTTGATTTTTCAAATATTTTGAGTGAAATATGTTTTCATTGACATAACTAGAGATTACTGTTGATATGTGCACTACGCAAGTTTTATTTTATGTTTTTTTAGAAATTAATACTTTTATTCTGCAAGGACACATTCAATTGATTAAAGTGATAGTAAAGACATTTAAAATGTTACAAAAGGTTTATATTTTAAATATAGTACATGCTGTTCTTTTAAACTTTGTATTCCTATTCAATTTATTCAAATAATTTACATTTTAAAATATATGAAAACAATATATTTCACAATATTACTCTTTTTAACTGTATTTTTGATCAAGTAAACATTAAAACAAACAAAAGCATTAAAATGATGAACTTTCTCACAGAATTTGCCTCAATGCATTCTGGGATTGTCTTTTCTATAAATGACACATTGAATGCTACCAAACCCTTGTCAGGAGTGCACCTATGATGCCTTAAAATGCTATATAGGTAGGCAGCTAACTAGATTTTTGGAATGTTTGACTATAAAATGTTAAAAATTATAAAGATCGACAGACACACATACACATACCACATTATACAGGCCAATGCACCACCGCTCAAACAGGATCTGTCCAGAGAAACCGTTTACAAACGCAAACCACAGCTGAAGAAAAGAGAGGTGGAAGTGTGTTAAAAATACAAAAATGAAGACGAACAATACTACAAAGAGAGATGTGAAACCCTCTAGCAAAATACTTTCGCACAACATAAAACTTAAGGTAGAGGCTAATTCATACAAACAAAAGCCTCCACACACACACACTCATACACATGTACACTTGCTGTCCATCCCCCACAATGCCTCTGCTATGAAGACAAAGACAGTCAGCGAACTTTGACCTTTAAAGCGCTTCTTTGCTGGAAGCTAATCCCCAGTAAGACCCCCAAAACGCCCCTCTCCCCCAAACATGGACAGATGTGCATGGACAATCGCTTTCCACAAATATAGAGACATCTAAACATTTAACCTTTACCCAGCTCTTCCCGTAACACACACACACACATCGGCACACACTCCAACACACATAGGCAGAGTCCTCGGGTGAATGAGGGGGGCATGCTTTTGCACCTGCTGCCATTTTAGGGGGTGGCACAGCTGACAAATGCTCCAGCACACAGAACGGTGACCCTGTCAGTAAAGCTCACACTCTACCTAGCGCGCGCACACACACACACACACACACACACACTTACAGAGCTCTCAGATGACAATGTATCTGGTATACAGTTTTGAACTGGAAGGACCCAGCCACTATAGATAGGGGTCAGTGGCTCTTTGTCTGTGTCTGCGAGAGTGTGTGTGTGTGTGTGATGGAAAGCAGAGACTAGAAAGGGCATCTCATTTATCACTGTCAAACACTTCCATAAACAGCTGCAAGCAGTCTACTTAATGTACGCAAGGGTGTCGGTGTGAAAAAAGGCAAGCAAAAGGAGAGAAACAAAAACAGTGTGTGAGCTTGTTTGTGTGTGTGTGTGTGGATCAGGGCTAATTTGATGACTCTGTTTAAAAAGTGATCTGAACTCATGCCATGTAAGTACAACACATTCCAAAAGCAAAACTATGCGGTTTAAAGAAAAGGTTTGGCCAAAAATAAATGAAAAATGTACTTGCACTCATGTCATCCCAAACATGTATGACTTTCTTGAAATGCATTGTGTGTATTTATAACATTGTGTATTTATAACATTGTATTCTATATAAAAAATATATAAATACAAATAAAATATATGAATATACATTTTATAGCTTTGTGTGATAAATTTAAATTTTTTGAAAATACTGCCATCCACTGTTGCTATCAAATCTCACAACAAAACACATACCAGTGGATTTCTGTATCATTAATGTCAGACGTGGCACTATGTAGTCAGTTTGTTGAAACCCACTGTATGGAAAGGGAAGCGTGAACTTTCTGTCTAAAATCTCCTTTTGTGTTTTAAAGAAGAAAGAAAAACATGAAGACAGATGATGACAGAATTGTCATTTTTAAGTGATCTACCCCTTTAAAAGTCTTACACATTGTGATTAATGTACATACCTCTATGATGTACAGAACCACATTCTTGTAGAAGCAGTACAGGATACATTTGGTGACCCGGTTGTAACTCCAAGCCCCGTGAACCAATAACAACTTCTCCAGGTATGAGAACTAAAGAGAGTGAGGTTGAGAGAAGAATTAGTTTGCCCGCAGGAACACATGTGAACCATTACTGCAGGAGCAGCTACCCGGATACAACAGCGCTGTGGGCAGAAGACTGCTGTGTGTTTTGTGTTGTGGTAGTGTAATTACATTTTTTAAGATGAGATGTGTGTGTGTGTGTGTGTGTGACCGAGCCACAGAATAATGAATTACATGAGTGTGCTTGTGTGTCAGACCTGAGCTATAGAGTAGTCAGATGAGTTGGTGGCTTGCATGCCCTCGTTCCCACTGATGCCCACTCCCACGTGTGCCGTCTGTATCATGCCCACATCGTTGGCTCCGTCTCCGATAGCCAGCGTGATGGCCTTTACATGTTTCTTCACCATATCCACAATCTCTGACTTCTGCAGCGGAGACACCCTGAAAGAAAAACATGACAGAAGTTGCACCTCAGGAAACAAGTACTATAAACTTCACAATTTTCTCAAATATGCTTTAAATGTGTCTCAATAATGTCTGAATCTGTCCATTAAAGTGACAACATCATTAGACAGCAACAGAGAAGTGTAAAGTGACCAAGAGATTTGGTGTCATGAACAATTTGGACGGCAAAGTGATTCCATTGGCTGAAATAACTTTTTATGGGTACTCTATTCAGTGCCTGATTAGAAATCCTACAAAAATGTTTTATGATGCATGGATTTGAATCAATGGATGGACAAACATAATGAGAGAATATTAAAAATACCTTCACTGAACAAAAATCTTGAGTTTGGAAGAACATTACAGTAGATAAGTGATGGCAATTTATGGCAGAATTGACATTTTTAGAAGAACTATTTCTTTAAGTTGTGTCACAAATACCAGTATTTAAGATATAAATTGTGAAATGAATCACTTCATTTTATTAAAGTGTACTAGCTTACAGTAGAATACTGTAGCACTTTACCATTTACTGCCAATTAGCCTGCTAGCCCAGTCTTTGTACACACGTTCAAAAATATATTTTTTACATTTCATAAGTATTGTTGGTGGATTGTTCCTAATTATCTAGTTATCATAGTCATAGTTTGGTAACTCCACTGGTAGCTTATCTACAATATTCTGGAAAAACAAAATAATAGTGTAATAAAAAAAAATAAAAAATAATAATATCAGGGTATTAAAACAAATCATGATATCACCACAGCACTTTTTTGTAAGCCCAGAAGACATCTAATCATGAAACTTCGTAGAAACAGAGAAGCACAATATAATCTCCCAATGGAAGGTGTTAACGAAAATTAATGACCATTGACATACATTCACATTTATTCATTTAGCAGCTGTTACCCAACAAATGAGAAATGCTACAACATAAAATACTTAACCAAACAGAGACCTGTATGGAAACCCGTTTATGCCACTGAATATTTGTTATAAGCACTGTTATAAAGTCAAAATTGCGAGTTATAAAGTCAGAATTGCGAGTTATAAAGTCAGAATTGAGAGATATAAAGTCGCAATTCTGAGTTTTTTTTCCTCGCAATTGCGTGTTTATATCACGCAATTCTGACTTTATAACTCGCAATTGAATTATAAAGTCAGAATTGCAAGATATG